TTGCTATAAACTTGCCCCATTGTACTACTTTTGTTGTTTCCCATTGCTCTAAAGTTTGGTGTCTTCATTCTGTTTTGTTTTTAGGAATTTTTAAAGTTTCTTCTTTGATCTAATTATTATTATTTAGCAATATATGTTTAGTTTCCAGGTATTTAATCTTTTTGCCTCTTTCTTTAATGATTGATTTCTTCGTTTGTAACTTGGTCTGATTTCTATTTTTCTTATGTTGTGATTGTTTAATTTGTGTCCCAGTGTGTGATCTATCTGTAGAATGTTCCATATGCAGAGAAGAATGCATATTAAGTTTATGGGGGGGGGAGGGAAGGGTTCTGATTATGTCTATTGGGCCTAGTTTTTTTGGTTCTTCTCTTGGGCTCTTGCTTATTTACTGAGATCCTGCTTGATCTGTCCAGTGATAAGTGTTGTGTATTGAAGCTCTCCTGCTACAATTGTGCTGCCATCAATGTACTTCCTTTAGTCTTTTAACACTTGCTTTGTAACCTTTGCTAGATCTTCATTTGGCATATATATTGATAGCAGGCTCTATTAAACCCTCATGTTCTATTAAACCCTTAACTGGTATGTAATGTACTTTTCTATCTTTTATTATCTTTTATAGTTTGAATGATATTTGGTCTGAAACCAGTATGCTTGTTCCTGTTTTTCTCTGTCTGCCATTACCCTTTATGATTATCTTCCAGCCATTTGCTCTGAGCCTATGAGAGCTTAAGTGTGTCTTCTATAAGCAAGGGAAGTTGGGTTTTGTTTACTGATTCATCCTCCTACTCTGTATGGTTTTATAAGGGAGTTAAGTCCATTGACATATAGAGAAATTATTGAGATAAAAGGATTTGTTGTCATGTCCACATGTCAATATCTCAAGTTCTAATGAAATTAGAACTGTACCTTACACCATTCAAAAAGCAAATTCAAAGTGTATTTAAAAACTCAAGAGTAGACCAGAATCCCTAAGATACATTGAAGAAAATTGGCAGAACTTTCTAGGAAATTGGACATGGGGCAATCTTTAAAGGATGACCACAGTGGCAAAGAGAACAAAACCAAAATAAACAAATGGGGCTACATCAAATTAAAAAACTTTTGCAAAGCAAAAGAAACTCAAGTTCTAATAAAAGACACCCTACTGACTGGAAGAAAATACATGGATGTGATACATCAGATAATTGGACTGATATCCAAGATCTATAAAGCATTCACAAAACTCAACCATCAAAATTCCAACAACCCCATTTATAAATGGTATGAGGAGATGAACAGTCACTTCCTCAAAGAAGATACACAGGTGGCCAACAGGCATATGAAAAAGTGCTTATTGTTCACTCATGATTAGGGAAATACAAGTTGAAACAGCAATGAGATATTATCACACACCTGTGAGAATGGCACATCTCCAAAAATCCAGAAATAGCCAGTATTAGTGGGGTTGTGTTGAGAAAGAAACCCTTATCCACTATTGATGGAAATGTCATCTGGTTCAGCCTTTATGAAAAACAATATGGAGATCTATCCAAACAATAGGAATAGAACTGTTGTACTGTTGATTGAAGTACTGTGACTTACAATACTGTTAGTGATGCTTTCATGTGTACATAATTCCAGCATCACACTCATCACCCACCTCAATCCAGTGATACCATTTCTTGGCCCCCAGATACAAAAATATTAGTTTAAAAGGACATATGCAAAACTATGTTCATCACAATGCCTAGTACAATAGTCAAGATATGTAAACAACCCAAATTCCCAGATATAGATGAATGGATCAATAAATTCTAATATAGTAGAATATTATGCATCTCTAAGAAAAAAAAACAAAGTCATGCAATTCGTCACATTGTAAATGAAACTAGAGGATATCCTGCTAAGTGAAGTCAATCATAAGTAACTGGATAGATACGGAATGATCTATCTGAAGTGTGGGACTTAAAGATACACAGTAGGGTAGCAACAAAATACAAAACAAGACACAGTGGTAAAACTGATCCACAGAACTGTGTTGTGGGGAGTACTATAAGGGTATTAGGAGTCTTGGGGAGAAGAGGTTGGGTACACTGGTGAGGGGTGTGATGTTTGAATTATATACACATGAAACCATCATTAATAGTATTGTAAATCATAGTACTTCAATAAATAAAAACAGAATAAAATCCAAGTCATGATAAGAGAATGTGCTAGTAGACCTACTCTTGTCTGATATATACTATTATTTTCCTATGTTCTCTATATTATCTCATTTCTCTTCTGATGGAATCAAAATGCAAATCTGACCACTTGTATTTGATAGGTGACAGAAGGATTTTTTCAAGTTTATACATTCTGTGAGAGGTAGAACAGAGCAAGACACACTTCAAAGGCCATAACTGATCTCTGCTCACCTACTGCCACAAAGGAGACTTGATGTTGCTGGAAGCATTGACCAGGTAGTCTTGAATTTCTTCTGCCATACGTCATAATTATTGCTGAGAGAAGCACGGTGTGAGACCGCAGGAGAAGTCTTCAGGTAGGGCTAAAGCTGTTGGAGGGGAGGCCTCTATAAAGTTGGATCAACTGAAGTATATGGGTTCTTTTGCTCTGACTTTCCCTTTTCCCTATGCCTTGAAATGGGGCTTTAGTTATCTGTTGGAAATAGAAGGGAAAGTTTAACTCCGTGACTTATGACATTTGTTATTAACCTCAGAATATGATGAAAGAGATGAAGATATTTCTTAGGAAAAAAATCTCTGAAGTTTTACCATTGCACATTCAATTTCTGTGGGTTCATAAGGCCTTTGAAGCTAATCAAGAATTTGGTCACTAGCCCAAGAGAATCTTTCACCCAAGAAAATCTTTAGAACTAGGATACCATCTTTTCTGAAGCAGTTTCTTAGAGAAGCAATGGCACTAATGCAAGATGTTGTTCCGCTGCTGCCAGTGGTGAAAATTAACTTATTTAGTGAATAATTAACATCAGTCTCTATTTTACTTAAGTTTTGAAGTTTTACACAACCTTAAAAGGTACTGTTATTTATGTAGATGAGGAAATGATTCATTGGTATTCAATAACAAGCACAGGTAGCTTGTTATTGAATACCAATGTTATTGAATATTCAGACTAAGTGGAATGTGTTCAATATAGGTCAATAATTCCAAAACACTTTTTAAAATAAGAGTTATGGTCTATTCGGATCTATTCAGAAATGAGAGTAATGTTTAATACATGATTTGTCTAGTTTTGTCATCACAGGCACTTGTTTGGCAGGAGGAAATTGTTATTAGCCACATTAAAAAACTTCTATGGAAACACGTCCCACACTTTTCTCTTGGGATTCCTATATATGCTAGATGTTGATTTTGTAAGCAATTTGCCTTTCAATTTTCCCTTACAAAAATGAAAAAGACCTTCTGAAATGGGAAGTACTCATTGGCCAGAGAATGTTCTTTTTGCCACTACCACATCAAAAATCAACTAAACTGTCAATAAAATTTTTTTCCTTTGAAGGAGGATTTTACTGGCCAGTTAAGGTTTGCCACATCCCTTTGTCACCATTCCCTTCTTGTCCCTACTGGGCCTCTGCATATGCCAGGACCCTGAAATAGTGCCAGCTTGGATGGTTTGAGTACCTCCACGAGGTTTCCATGTAGTAAGGTCAGTAAATGCCATTGAAGAAGGTGTGTCTTTTGGGAGAACACATCAGCAACAAAGCAACTGGTTCAAAGATACAATACTACAAAGCAAATCCACAGGTCCCTAGAACAGCAGTTAGTACTCACTTATACAAGGCTGTTACTAAATATTTTCATGACACAACAGAAAACCACTTGCACAGTTTTACATGTGTCTCTTTAGAGAGAAATTTAGGAGGTTACCCGAAAAAACTAAGTTATTTTGGGTCTTTTTCTTACAAGTATAATCATCTAGGAGGCAAAATTCTCCTGCGTCTTGATTTTAGCAGATTTCTTTATGAATATTGGGAAGTGTAATTTTTTTCCCTCACTCTGTCTGTGTCTGTGTCTGTGTCTCTCTCTCTTTTCCCTTGTTTTTTTCTCTACCTCCCAACCAAAGTTCAAACAATTGATAAACAAAGATTGTATGGCTCCCTGCCCTGCCAGTTTTCCCATATATTAGCAACCTTGGTGCTCAAACCTATGAATATAAAAATGTAAAAGTTGTATGTAGGTTTCAGAGGTGCCTGATGTACAAGAAAATAAATAGTCATCTTTATTTTCCAATGGGTAACAATTTAAGTATCTTTGTCTACAAAATTTAAGTCAAAAGCTTATGGACTTTTGTGAGTTGTTGCCAGTCCTTGGCAATATCACTATTCTATAATTCTGAGAATACTAAAAGGAGTTATACAATTTTAAGGCTATCATAAATTTTATTATTATTTCTTGGGATAGAGCACAGCAGGTAGGACATTTTCCTTGCACACAGCCGACCCGGGTTGGAGTCCTCCATTCTGGGTTCGATTTCTCCATCCCTCTAGGAGAGCCTGGCAAGCTACCAAGTATCTCACCCACACAGCAAAGCCTGGTAAGCTACCTGTGATGTATTCGATATGCCAAAAATAGTAACAAGTCTCACAATGGAGATGTTACTGGTGCCCACTCGAGCAAATTGATGAACAATGGGAGGACAGTGCTATAGTGCTATATTGGATTTTCAATATATATTGAGTCCTTAAAAGGACTCAAGGGGAATACAGTTATTAAATTTGTATTCCCCTTGAATCCTTTTTAGTGAGAATTGTCTCAAAAATAATTCTTCTTTCTGGTTACATTGTGGGCTGAGAAAAATAATTGTACAGAATAGCACAGGATGATGATGTTATTTCATTTGGGGCCACACCCAATAATCTGCTCCCCTGGAGCATGGGGAGTCAGTGATCAAATCTCAACCTCCTGCATCCAAAACTTACACAGTAACTCTGAGTTCTCTCTCTGTCCCCTAGAATTATTTCTGAGGCATAAGTTTCAGTGCTAAAGAAACCTTGGAAACAGTGCTTGCTTTGGCAACACATATACTAAAATTGGAATGAAACAGAGATTAGCATGGTCTCTGTATAAGAATTATTCAGAAATTCATGAACTATTTCATACTTTGTATGCATCTACTTTGCTATAATATTTTCAATAGACTTCTCACACACACATACACATACACACACGCGCGCATCAACTTGTTTAGATAATAGCTCAAAGGGGTAGAGTGCATTCTTTGGATGCATGAGACTCTAAGTTTGATCCTGGGGAAAACAGGCCCTCTAAGCTTCTGAAGTTTAGAAGGTTAGATTGTCTATTGGTCTCCCAGTATCACTGGGATAGGCAACTCACAATTCAAGCCCTGAACTGCCAGACTGTGTTCTCACAGTGGCTCCCAGTCCTGTGGAAATGCTCCTTTGAAAACAAAACAAAAGCCTCAGAAACCTTAGGCAAAATGGACTAGTTTCTATCTATCAATTTAAATGTCTATCTATTTATCTATCATCCATCTATCTATCTCTATCATCTATCTAATTATCTATCATCTGATTATCTATCATTTATATATTTTCTCTTCAAGACTTTTTCCATAAATGATATGGATTAAATAAAGAAGGAAAGAAGATAGGGTAACAAAAGGAGAAGGACACTCCAGACGTGAGATATCTGATTTCCCTTTCCTCAAGGTGTCTTCCAGAAAGCGTATAATTTTTTTGGAATCAAAGTGCTAAATAGCGTTACACAGAGCTTCGAGTTTCAGTACTGCAGACCCCTGAGCTGGATAATTCACGCTAGCAATTAGCTTCCTGCCTTCCTGCTTCAACCTTGTAATAAGTGTGGAGCTGTTTACTGCCCACAAATGTATTTAGCAACAGGTGCTCATGGGACAGAAACAGTGGAGAACGTTTCCTTATAGAGGAAATTCATACAATGAGCAAAGCCAAGCCAGCAGTTCTGGCTAATTAAATCCCCTTTCAAGGACTGTGCTGCCCTATGGGGCACCCTACAGGTGACACACACAGTTCCTTTCTGCGTGGTTTTATGAAATGTGTTTGCCTGCTTCTGTTTTCTCTAACAAATTTTCTCTGTAGTATATTTCTTGGCACTATAGCTTTTTAAAAAAATCAGTGAAACATTTATGGTCTTGAATGAGTTAATAAATATATCACCATTTCCTGTACACCTTACTAATTTATATAGGACTGCCTGAAAACAGGATGGCATTTTGAAAATATTTTGGGGCTCTCAAACTTTCGCTTGAGAGGGAGAGATAGTACAGTGAGTAGTGTTTGTCTTGCATGTGGCGGACCTGCACTTGATCCAGGGAACCCCATATGATCACCCAGCACCACCAGGAGTGATCCTTGAGTGCAGAGCCAGGAGTAAGCCTTGAGCACTGTCGGGTGTGGCCCTCAAAAAATATTAAATAGATAAATAATTCACTTTTTAAAAAAATGCTACTACTTAATGCTGAGAAAATTGTAACACAATGAGGCTGTCACTTAACAGGTGGCAGTCTTGGTGGTCAGTTCCTTTGGCTAAACAATCTGTCTGATTAGAAATGGTCCTCTGGGACAGATATAGAATGATTGCACTCATTTGTGGAATATAAAATAATATCATATGAAACTGACACCCAAAGACAGTAGAGATAGGGCCAGGAATATTGCTCCATAGTTGGCAGCCTGCCTCATGAGCTGGGAGAGAAGGCAGCTGGAATACAGAAGGGATCACTGAGTCAATGATGGTTGGAGGGATAGTTCTGGATGGGAGACAGGTAAAGGTAAGGTAAAGTCCTCCCGTTGTTCATCGATTTGCTTGAGCGGGCCCAGTAACGTCTCCATTGGAGACTTTTGTTGTTACTGTGTTTGGCATATTGAATACGTCACGGGTAGCTTGCCAGGCTCTGCCGTGCGGGCGAGATACTCTCGGTAGCTTGCCGGGCTGTCTGAGAGGGGCGGAGGAATCGAACTCGGGTCGGCCATGTTGGTTACATGCAAGGCAAACGCCCTACCACTGTGCTATCGCTCCAGCCAGGATGGGAGACATGTGCTGAAAATAGATAAAGGACCACACGTGATAGCCTCTCAGTATCTGTATTATGAACCATAATGCCCCAAAATAAAGAGAGAATACAGGGGAAATAGCCTGCCATGAGAAGGGGTGGGACGTGGTGGAGGGGGAGTGGATACGAGGGATATTGGTGGTGGAATATGTGCACTGGTGGAAGGATGGGTGTTCAATCATTGTATGACTAAAACTCAAACATGAACATTTGTAACTGTGTCTCACAGTGATTCAAAAAATACCAAAAATTAAAAAAAAGGAAATGCACCTCTGAGATACAGGACTTTTATACTTATAAAAGTCTGCAATATAAATAAAATTTTATGGTTTAAAAAAAGTCTGCAATATCATCGTGACAATAATATCATTGTTACAATGATAAAAATGCAAAAATTATACTGATATTTTTCAGTGATCCTTATATTACATGAAAAAAATCTGCAAAAATACAGGTCTGCAAGATTTGCAGATATGCAAGAATTGATGCAGGCACATGGATAAGAATAGGAAGTCAAGAGCCACATATGGAACAGATATTTCTGGGACTTCTTTTAAAAATCATGTTGTTGAAGTTGCTATTGTGTAGTCTTTTCATAATAGTGCAGAGAGTAGGGGTATGGTGCCGCTAGCAGGTTAATCTGTACTGTGAGGTGAGTGCATCAGCAGCCTGATGGCACCTTCAGACTTCCAGATACCCCAAAATTGCTGCTGTGCCTTTGGCCAGACCCCAAAAACTTGGGTCAAAGTTTACCAAGAAAGTAAACGGCCAAAAGTTAGGTATGTGGGAGACACAGCCACAAACCACCTTCAGCTCAACTATATAATTGGAGGCATGGTCTCTCTGGTACCTGATTGTACTCTTAACGGTCAGATCCTAGAGACTCAGGAACAAATCTCGAAACCCAATGGCTTTTGGCAGAAATGCATCCAGTCTCTGCAGTAGGTTACCGGGCGCCAGGCTACCCCAGGTGGGAATAGGTTTTGTGTCTTGGCCTATTCCCCCTGGTGGCCCGGTGACGATCATCCTCCAGAGGCTACTGGACAGTCAGGTTTGGGCCCACAGTGATGAGACATGTGGGGCCTCATGTGATGAGGGTGGAGCCGGCCCTTTCCTCCCCATCCCAATGAGACCCTGAGTTGCCTGCCACCCACGAATGGCCTCTCTGACTCCTGATCAAGCTGCTTAATGGTCATGATCCCAGAGACTCAGAAATAAATCTCAAAACCCAGCGGCTTTTGGCAGAAATGCATCCAGACCCCACAGTAGGTTACTGTCGCCGGGTAACCCAGGGGTGAAAGGGTGTTGTCCCTCGGCCTGCTCCCCGTAGGCGGCTCGGTGGCTGCCATCTTCCAGAGGCCATTGGACAGTCAGGTTTGGGCCTCAGTGACGAGACAAATGGGGCCTCACGGGATGGGGGTGGAGCTGGCCTTTTCCTTCCCGTCCCAACAAGACCATGAACCGCCTTTCTGGCTCCTGGTCAAGCTGCTTAACGGCCATGATCCTAGAGACTCAGGAACAAATCTCAGAACCCAGCAGGTTTTGGCAGAAATCCCTCCAGATTTAAGTGTAAGAATTTTGTAATTTCAAAATCGTGTGCTCACTACTGCAGCCACGCGACATCATATGTTATTCATAACCAGCAATAGAAAACAGATTGTCTACTGTTTCCTTTTCAGCAGACTGAGTGTTGGGGTAAAATCCCAAATAATAATAGTGGGTCTGGTGTCAAAATATTGAATGTAATCAAAGTAGAGAGAGAGTAATGTGGAAATCATCTGCCCCACAGGTAGGGGAAGGGTGTAAGATGGGGCTATACTGGGTTTTTTGTGGTGGAGAATGGGCACTGGTGAAGGTATGAGTGTTTCATTGTATGACCAAGAAAGACTTAAACCGAAAGCTTTGTAACTGCTCTCACGGTGATTAAATAAATAAAATTATAAAAAATGAAAAAGAAAAGTGAGGTGGAGTTCATGTCCAATTCAATCAGCTAATCAGTGACTGAATAAATAACAGTACTCCTACGTAAAAAAAAAAAAATAGTACAGAGAGAAGCTGGCATGTGTATAAATTAATAAGAAAATACCCTGGTGAGGCTATGCTGATGGTACCTAGGGCATTGTCATGGGAGCTTGACAAGTGACTGTTGTCCCTGTTGGGTCTCGTGGGGGTCCCTTGCTTTTTATGGTCTGTGGTTTGGCATGTGGAAGAACCTTCTTTTCCAGATTGCCTCACATTGCTCTAACCTGTGAGACTGAGGCCCCATCCCTTATTCTCTGTTGTGATTTTACAATGAGGAGTTGAACTTCCACATAGAAAAGTGGCTCATTCCATACTCTATGAGGCCATGAACAACTCGAGGAGCCATGATATCAGAAAATCATCTGTTTGTATGAAAAAGGAACTAAAAGGGGGCTGGAGGAAAAGCACAAGTGTTAAGGTGCTTGCATTGTGCCTTCCATACAGCCCACCTGGTTCAGTGCTAGGCACCCCATGCGTTTCCCTGAATACTGTGAGGTATGATCCTTGAGCACAGAGCCAGGAGTAGCTCCTACGCACTGCCTGGTATGACTCAATACCAAACTAAAGCATAACAAGAAGACTTGAATGATATAACTTTGTTTTTCTACGGCATGGCCTATGTGATTTATAGCATATATAAAGCCTAATTTTGGGGTCTCACAGTGAGCATAGTGTAGAGAGGAGAAATTGTTTTTCTTCTATTTTTAGTTCTTAGCTGAGACCTATTTAATAAAAACACACCGACAAACTGAAAACAAACTGGTTTATTAATATGCAAGTCCATGTATATATGAGAGAGAGCCAGGAAAAGATGAATAACTCCAAAAAGTAGTTTTAGAGTCCAAGATTAAATATTCTTTTCTTGGGCGGGAGCAATAGTGCAGAGGGTAAGGTGTTTGCCTCATATGCAGCCAAACTGAGTGCAATCCCCAGCATCTCATTTGGTCTCCCAAACACTTCCATGAGCAATTCCTAGTGCAGAGCAAGAAGTAACTTCTGAGCATAGCTAGGTGTGACTCCAAAAGCAAAAATAT